CTAGTACCTTTTATCTCTTCTACTTTCTCTCTTGGCACCCGAATCAATTAATTTAAATCCAGCTTTGCCGAAGAAATTCTCTGCTCTCCTTCCACTTCATTCTTTAAAACAATAATAATTGTTTCAATTTATCAGAGTGAGAATTTCTGCTGTAATTATTGATGCATAATTTCTAAGCCAAACTCGTAAAATTTCCTCGGGTAATGCAAGATTCCACGAGCGGAAACAGCATTGCAAGCGTATTTATCGCTTCTCATTCCTATTGACTCCAACGAACTTAAATCGACTCTAACTTGTCATACAATTCTGATATAGTGCATTTTCCCTTTTGATCAGTGACATTTTTAATAATCAAACCTAATAATTCCCGAATATAGAATTCTACCAACAATTCTTCCCTGCCGAACCTATTTTTTAAGCTTTCTATAACTTTTTCATAATTTTCGGCAGTTGCAGGGAAGCTGTTTACATCCCGTGGTCTCGTACCGAGTACGGTCGCTTGAAATTACTCTTGACTTGTTTTACCGATCACTTCCGTCGTCACCAAAATTGTTCGAGATTTGCAAGAACTAACCGTTCTCCTTTCTCCTAATAAACTTAAAATAAAATAACTTTACGTATAAAATTCTACAGCGTTATATTTATTTTCAAAATCCATAGAACTACAAGAAACTACAACAAAAATCAGATGGTTGCCACTCTTACAGTGATAAACTATGAAAAGAAAAATAACAACTGAGGCTGGGTTCTAACACAAGGATTTCAAAGCGAGCAATGGCAACGTTGTACAGAAAAAACATTTTTATCTCCAGCGCGCGAAACTCTGTATCAGAAATTCTAAAGATATGCTCATTTTAAAGTTAATTTTCGATATTAGTGTTGAAATGAAATTTACAGTTTGAGTACGTAGAACATGATATTTAATAAATAAATGTAACACACAAAACGTTGAAAAAAAAAAAAGAAAAAAAAAGCACCTTTGGACGCAATTTAAAATCTGAAACCTTTCATAGTTTAATTTTTTTCCTCGTTTTTTGTGATATTGCTGTTAAATTGAATTTTATGGTTTAAGTGAGAAGGCCATGATATATAATAAATAAAGGTTAAAAAACGTTAAATAAACTCCTCTTTGGAAGAAATATAAAATCTGAAAGCTTTCAGAATTTGATTTTATTTATTAATACCTTTAGTTTATATATCATAGTTATATATATAGAGTTGTGCAAATACATTAGATTTTAGGTTTTGCTCTTTTAATGCTATGAAAATACGAGTTAGAAAATCGATTCGATTTTCTTAGTATTAAAAGTGTAAAATAAAGATTTTTTTTAATGTATCGTCTTATTAAATCTCGAATAAAAACCTGTCACGATTTGAAAAGAGAAAACAAACGAATTTTTGAGCTTCACGATGGTGAGCTTCGTTTATGTAAGTTACGTTTAAGGAATACCGACTTCGCACATTTATCTCATCCGTCCTTTCCTATCCCCCTCGCTTCGAAAAAGACAGTTTTCTCCTTTCGCTGAGCGATGCCTCCTACGCTTATTCTTCCAGACACTCCGATTAAAGGTCGCCGGAAACCTGCTTCTCAGCCTAATTTCAGTTCAGGACTATTTCCATCAGCTAGTGTTTCTGTTGAATTAAAGGAAGTGACATCACTCTTCTTAATTCAGGAGGTATCCGGAAATAACGCCGTATGACCCTGTTTCAGAAAGAAATATGACCTAATCGCACTTTATGTCTACCGACGTTGCGCATCGTACAGCTAAAATGTGGCTGAGTGAAATTATTTCATGTAAACATTAAACATAATTAAAATTAATTTGAATGTTATTATTATTACAATCAAGTGATTTATTTCTGTTTTCAAGCAAAGATAAGGGCTGCTTGATTAAAATTTTCAAATAAAGATTGCTGCAGATGCTACACTACTCTGAAGAAAATCTCTCAAGAAATTAAAATTAAATGTTGTAAAGCTGATTAATAAATTATTTCGCTTGAGATGTTAAAGGTTTTTCTGAATTTTTCACTAGGTGAAGGTCAGGCAGCACCAGGGAGGCTAATAACCGGAAACCACAACTAGTTTACCCAGAGCTCAGCTCCCAAGGTTGAAAACAGTATATTTTCATGATTTCCGCAACGTATAATACAAAAGCGAGTCAAAGCATCATTTGCGAAGGTATCTTATAATCTTTTTTTTTAAGTGGGAAAGATGTGGAGTATTTTTCTTTGATTAATTGACGGTGTACATGTGATCATATTATTATTCTTTCTTTTAATTTCTAACCCGAAGAAATTAACCTTCCATAGAATTTCAGAAAGTTCATCACTAGAGAATTAATATAGGGAAAACTAAAAAATAATTTTGTCTCTGGAAAACCTCAAAATTTGACGGTCGATCACGGGGAAAATCGTGATATTTCGCAGAATGACTGCTGTTTGAATGAAATTCGGTTTGAGCTTTGCTAATGTGACAGACTGAGGGCCTAAGCTATAGCTTGGAGGCGCGTTTTACTTTTTGTCTAAGATTTTAACTCTACCTGTGCATTATAAGGTATTTTCTCTCCCCATCCATCATTCCTTCGTAGTATAACGGTAGCATACTCGGCGCGTATTCGAGAAATCCAGGTTCGAGTCCCGACAAGAACATGGTAATTTTTCATGTCTCCACTTTCAAAATAACCTAATGACTCTACACATTTATTTTGATTTTCCTGCAGGATCCAGAGATTTGATCTTCTGTTACTATTTAGGCTGTGTAATCTCAAGCTCATAAGTGAGTTTGTGTTGTTTTACTTAGAAGTTAAAGTGGGACGATTAGTTTGAATGTCCTTATGATTTCACGAGTTAACATTTATAATAATGTGGAACCTTATACAAAGTCAGCATTATACGCTTTTAAGCACATAACGCTTTTAAGCACATAACGCTTTTAAGCTAATATTTACTTTCATAAATGATTCAAAATCTGGTAATGTTAGTGTTGCTTATTTTAGAAGAATAAGGTTTCCATTTATATGGACGGCATGTGGTACATTTTATTGTACCTATACAGATTTTTCTTTTCGTTAATTTAATGTATGTTGTCCTTGTGAAGATTTCAGGGAAGGACGAAAATTCTTAGAACTGACGCTATGTGTCATTTCGTATGTCATTATTTTTGGACACCGGGGATAATAGATGACAGTTTTATATTGCTTGGAAAAATAATAAAAATTATAAATTACTTTTTCACAGTCCAGAAGAATATTAAGCCTTAAGCGGGAACTCAATCAAAGTTTCGGTATGAATTTTGGTTTAGGATCACTTTGTAGGATGTTTTTTGCGTAAATTCTTAGAAAGGCGGAAGTAAAATTATTTATAACGTATGTTGTTCTTGTGAACATTTTGGGGCGGGGAAATGTTTTTAAAATTGTCATTCTTTGTGGGTACCGACGATAATAGATGGCAATTTTAATGCTTGGAAAAATGGTTAAAGTTATAAATTACTTTCACTCTACAGAAATCATAAGCGGGAACTAACTTGAAAGCTTGATGAATAATTCAAAATTTCGGCGTTTAAGATTAATTTGTAGGATTTTTTTTGTGTACGTTCTTATGAAAGCAGACGTAAAATTATTTAAATATGAAAACTAATTTAGCAGTTGTAATAAAAATTAGAAAATAATAGGAAAAGTATAAAAGTTATAAGGTATTTCTCCCGCCTACTTAGCATACCTTCGTGGTGTAGTGGTGAGCACGCTCGGCGCGTATTCGAGAGGTCCAAGTTTCGAGTTCCGGCGAAAGCATTGCTCATTTTTCATGTCTCCTGCTTCCAAGTAACCTAATGTCTCTACAGTGGCGTCCGAACTAAAAAAGGTGGTGGATGATGATTCTCCACTACCAGGATTTGGCGATTGGATCCTCTAATCCCCAGTCGCCCTTTAAAAGGGAAAGTATATAAAGGTATTTTCCCCTCCTTCTTAGCATGCCTTCGTGGTGTAGTGGCCAGCACGCTCGACGTGTATTCGAGAGTTTCGAGTCCCGGCGAGGATATTGCTCATTTTTGACGTCTCTCAGCGTCAAAAATACCTAATGTACCTACAAATTAAAAATTCGTCAAAGTTCATTCGTATCGTTATAATCTTGCTGGCCTTTTTCGCAACCCGTTTACTTCTAATTCGTATTCGCTGAATTAATTCCCTTCGTACTTTCATTTATTATCCATTCTTAGTCCCTATCTAGCTTGCTGAGTTATTGTGCTGAACCTAAAATATTTCTGCGAGATTTTAATCAAAACAAAATTATTTTTACTTTATTTTAATTTGGCAAAATGAAGTAAAAATAATTTTTTATTGGCAAAATGAAATAAATAAATGTTAGAGCAGCTAGACTAAACGGATATAATTTCTGATCAGTTAAGCTGTGCTTTGTAGAGGGCCACGCCTACTCTACAAAAATATGTCTGTTTGACTTAAAGCAATCTAAAATACTCTTTTGAATGATTATTAATCACTTCAGCTTTTGAGTTTAAAATAGCTTCGGTAGACCCGATTTCAGGGTCTCGAGAAATATGTAATTATTAAAGTCGTCGTAAAACTTCAATAATTATATATTTCTCGAGTACGATGTGTCTCTCGATTTTCGAGATGCGTCTCTTAAGCAAATACATCTTAATTAATCAATCTCTTAAGCAAAGAACATTGGCAATAATTTCTATTCAGGATGCAAATGCACATTTTAGTCCCTGTATTGCATGCACACATGGCTAGCAACAAATATTTCGCTAGCAGTTCCTTTTCTACAGGGGCAGGAAATCGACATGATTAAAAAAGCGGAATCTCTCTTGGAGGTGCTGGGGAAGGAAGAAGAGAAAATCTGCACTTTTTTGTTATCATACGGACATCACTCATTTCTTTCTTTCAATATCTATTAAAGTGAAAGTAATTATTGCCATTGCCGCTAAGATCGCATCTCAAGATTATAATTGATCAACGTTTCCGCTCACTCTTCAAGGTTTTCTTTCTGATAACAGCCACTCGTAGAGTTGAAAGCGTGCAGTTGTGGATTTAGAGAGCGTAATGGAAAGTGTTGTACTCGCTTACAGTGGTGGACTGGATACCTCCTGTATTTTAGTATGGCTTATCGAAAAAGGTTACGATGTCATCGCTTTCATGGTATGTGACCTCTTTCAGAATACTGTCGTTTCGTTCATGCTCACAAAATTCTTTATTTTGTTCAATATCGCAGGCTTAGGTTCTTTTTTATTTTATTCTTCAAACTGGATAATTAAATCAGAAAAAAATTAACATTGGCGACTGAATCAATTAAAAGTTCCTCTTTCCTTTCAAACCGATGCTATAAAATTTTCACTCAAGCTCATTAAAATTCTTATCTGTCTTTCACATGACTTCTTTTTGGTATTTGTTCAGACTTAGATGTAAAAGTAATTACCCCCGCCAGTGGACGAATGGTTAACACTATTGAATGCTGCGAGTTTGACACGGGTTCGATCTCGGGCGAACGAGCTCGGCATAGTTGGTTGCTGTGGGTTTCTCTTTGTGTAACGAGCCAATTTTATTTAGAAAGTCCTTCACGAAGGCGTCCTACCCCTTAGCCTTCATGTGCTATACCATATTGGAATACCATAATTGACGAGTATATAAAACATTAAAATTTGAGCTGTAATCTAGAAAATAAAATCTAAGTAACAAGCTCGTCTTGAAATTTATATTCTTAGATTACACTTATGTTTTTGTTAAAATTAGTAATACCTTTTGAGCCATGATTTATAGCGGGTATAACACGCTGATTAAAAATTCAGTAAGTATATAAAAGACTAAGACTAGGGGTGTAAGTGTTTTATATCTTGAGCGGAAGACTTTTAGGGGATGACAGATTTTTCTCATGTATTCATGTGGTGCAATTAGCCCACCACAAGGAAGGTCTCAGTACTGTATACTCTGTTTCTATAGTTTATTTTCAGGTATTTGTTGCTTTTGACATGCAGCAACACGTCAAAATGTACTGTTAGTTTCCTGGAAAAAATGGAACAAAAAACTAGTACCAAGGCCATACCCTTCACTCGTAACTCCTGATTTATCACCAAATCTCCTGATTTATCACCGATGTATTTTTGCGCTTTAAAGAATAAATGGAATCATACGAACAGAATAAAGGAAATTTTTTCCCCCAAAAAATTATGAAACCGATTTGAAATGGATTCAGAAGACACTTTTTCGAGACGTCTTTACGTACGTGCGTATGTGGGTATATATCTCGCATAACTCAAAAACAAGTAGCCTCAGAACGTTGAAATTTTGTATATAGGACAGCTACAGGATGTAGTTGTGCACTTCCCTTTTTGGTGGTAATCGGCCGCACCGAAAATAAATAAATAAATGAATAAATATATATATATATATACCCACTCTGTTACTCGGCTCCGTGAGCTCAATTTTTTTTATTCTTATATGTTGGTAAATTGTGCATTTTTTGCATTAAAAATGATTGAATTATGTTGTTATTATCTTCCGGTTAAGGTTTTTATGCCTTTAGTTAATCTGTTTGCATTAATTGTAGAATTATCAACAATTTAAAAGCTATTCAAGTGCGGCTAAGCCTAATTTCTTTACCATAGCAGCCATATTTGTTTACATTTGAAATTTAACAGAATAGTGGATTTGTTGTCAATCTAAAGAAACTAAGTTTTGCAAAAACAACTGTTTCTTTTTTATTTGTCTAATTTCTTTTATACATCGTTTTAGATTTATTATAGTATTTGAATAGAACATGTTGTAACGATTAGATAATTCTTCAGATGATATAATTTTTGCGCATTCTGAGTTATAAAATGAATGAGATGTAACGATGTTAAGGGAACCTAGCCCCAGAGTGTCTATGGTAAATAATTTTAATAAATAAATTTTAAAGAGTGCATTTATTCTATTGTGGTTTATGCGCTATCGACAAAGTAGATTTAATTCTATTCAATAAGTTTAAATGAAATGCAGGAAAAAGGGTGTATAATTTAATATTCCATCAAAGAAAGTCATGTGGTGTACACATCAGATTTTTTTTATACTAACCAAGGAATAAGTTTCCTGAGAAATGTTAATTCTTTTTCCTTCCATTTCTTTTAACACGTATGCCAATTTTAAGCAATGTTTAATCCTTATTTACTTCATCAGTGAAAGATGATTAGATGTTTTTATATCGGAAACTAAGAAATTATCGATATACAGTAAATCCCCTCCTTCGTATCCGTGCTGACAGTAGCAGATAATACTAAACATTATGTAGAAAGATACACGTAGCTTATAGAACAACTGCAAAACTTAAATTTTTTTAATTAGTTACAATAAAACGTAATTGCTCTAAGTAGATTTATAATAAGAAAAAAGGGGTATTGTGCGCTGCATTGTATATAATAAAGCATTTTTTGTCCTATACGTAGGAAAGTAAGGCATTTAATCTTCAAAAGATGCTACAGAGATGCAAAAATAGCATATCATTTTGTATATAATCCTGCTAAGTTGTAGGGTCATTAGATTATTTTGATGCGGGAGACATAAAAAATGAGCAATGCCTTCGCCGGGACTCGAACCTGAACTTCTCGAAAACGCGCCGAGTGTGCTACCGTTACACTACGAAGGCATGCAGAGAGGAGGGATTATAAGGTATTTTCTCGCTCGGCGAAATTTAAATACCTCGGCAATTCAAAGCACTTCGTCGAGGACTGTTGGCTGACTGGAAACCTGAAAGGAAAATATAAATTGACAAAGTTTGAAGATTTATTTAGTAACTATAAATTGTTTAGAAATTTTGCAAGACATGTTATGCAAATTGTGAATGAGAACAAGAAGAATATTGGTACCGACGATGCTTGAAAACAGATATAATTGAAGAGAGCTTATAAATTCCAGATGAATTTTGATAATAAGAATAAATTTTGAATAATAATAATTAAAGGTGAAATTTTTTAAAGGCTTAAAACTTAACATAGAAATGAAAAAAATACCTCTACAGATTTCACCGAGAGTGTTTGGGATGTATGTATTTGTTTTACGTAGTGTGATATTATTTCTTTTATAACCCTTTTGAGTTTCTTATGTTCGTTTTGTGTATTGTATGATCTGGTGTGTATATTAGCTTTGCAACCTATCACCAGATGTTTAAAGTTCGTTATGATTTGTTATTTAGCCATTTATTTTGTTATGTTTCATTATTTAACGTTTGTTTGTTGTTATATTGGCTTGTCCCCTCTTAGCAATATCGCAGGCTTAGCCTGCTATTTGGACTGGGGGCCAGTGCTTAGAACTAACCTTCTAATATATCAACGGATAACAAAAACAATCAAACTAATATCTTTCAAATAAAAATATTATATAAGCAGTGAAACATTTATCTGACCATTTTCGTTCGTAGTCATAGTTGGAAATCATAATTGTACGTGGAAGGAAACTCTGGAGCATTTACACTGGTATATTGCATCATGTCACGGCCGTTCTTATTTGGTACACTTTTTATTATTTACAAACCTTTTATTTAATTAAATATTTTTATTTGCGTAACAATACAAAGCAGATAGTTTAAACTACACAAAGGAGTATCGTGTATATTTATAAGGTATTTCTCCCACCTTCTTGGCGTGCCTTCGTGGTGTGGTGGTCTGCACACTGGGCCGGTATTCCAGAGGTCCGTGGTTTGATTCCCGGCGAAGGCGGTTGCTAATTTTTCATTTCTCCAGCCTCCAAAAAAAAAAAAAAAAAATCCTAATGTCTTTACCTATTACAGTTTTTTTTTTTTTTTTTTTTTTTTTTTTTTTTTTCATTTTGAAGGTGCAACTTTGCTAATGGTATTTTTTCTCTCCTCTAGGCGAATGTCGGACAGGATGAAGATTTTGAAGGAGCAGATGCAAAAGCAAAATCTCTAGGAGCAAAGAAGGTATTTATTTAATAATGAAGTGTTTTAAGAGAGTAATATCGGAAATATGTTACTTTATAATTCATTTTGATGAATTTATTTAAGAACTTCTATCATTCTCATAAGCAAGTACCGTTACAAAGACAGCTTTTGTAATGGCAGTTACAACGGTACCCCTATATCCGTCGGTAGTACGTTCCAAGACTATGATGGCCATGCGAAACTGCGGATAATAGTGAACATTACAATAAAACAAGATATTCATGTAACATAACATAAGCACATAGTGGAGTTTAGCTCATAAATTTTATACTGTATGAGATAACCGCTGTTAAATAAAGTGATAGTACATTATACTGTAGTATATTACATATTTTACTAATAAATAAAATAATGCAAAATATATGGCATTCTACAGTATCTCCCTTGTAACAACTCCATAAAAGAAAAAAAATTAACCTATTAGCCTTATGTGCGAGAGATGAGAGAGAAATGAAAATATGTAGTTTCTGTATGAACTGTGGTTGCCCAGACAGTATAGTGGTTAGGGGAGCCGACAGCAATATCAAAGGTCCCGGGTTCGAATTCCGGGAAAGGTATGGTTGTAACTGTCCGTCCTTTCATAGGAGGCAAAGGTGGCCCACCTATTAGGTGCCTCCATAATAAAGTTACCACCACTTCTGGCCTTAGTTGTGGCCAAGTCGAAGTCGGCTGAGGGCTCATCATTGAAAAAAAAAAAAAAAAAAAGTATGCCCTGTGTCACAGCGTAGTGACAGAGTGCATACATTGCCACATTACATTGTGCATTATCATTTGAATTTAAAGGAAAATATTAACACGGAAATAAAGAAAGGAAGTCAAATTCTATGACTACTGACAACAATGATTCCCTGGCTATATGATCAAGAGGAATAACTGGATGAGGAAGGAAATGACGAAACTGAGGTGTGACCTATAAGCTGAGACCATACATAATGTTTCACAACGAATATTTCCGTTCGCTATATTTGGTGGGGAAGCTAATAGCATTTTGGTGGTGCCCCTTTAGATATTTGAATACTTATTTTATTTATTTATTTATTTATTTATTTATTTGAGGGGGTGGCCTATTGGAATCCGCTAGCTGATTCTGTATCCAACTATATAAAACTCTGCGGAGGTACGACTATATAAAATAAATCAGATTTAAACGGGGATTCTTTTTTCTCCTTCAAAACTGGGGCAGAAGCTTAGCAATTAGCTAGGTATAGCATCAATCGTCTGTGGTATTACAGAGGTGCTGGTCTAGCTTCTATCTGTCGCCCATCTGCCATCCTTATCGGTCTTGTGTTTCATGCTGCTGCCTACAGCACCGGGCTCGAATTCCAAAGAAGGCCTGGATGTTTGTAAGAGCAAAGAAAAAAAAAAGTCTGTGCTGCATGGAGGCACTTACTGGTACTGTCGAGTCAAAAGTATGTTTGGTAAGAGGAAAAGTGTCGGAAGATCCTCGAATACGTCCTCCAGGATCTTCACATTCACCGTTATACTTGGGATTCATCTGCAGAATATCTGCGATGAGACTTGATCTGTAAAAACCATTGGTGAAATTTTCTATTCCCAGCCCTACTTCCAGTCCTGTCGGCTTTTTCTCTACAGAAGAATCAGAGAGATATAAAGTATATAATCTAAATACGTAAATTTTGTCTAATCTTGCAAAGACTGATAAAAAGTGTGCAATCATAGCAGTTTCAAAGACATAATTTTATAAAATATTCACATAAATTTATACAAGGAACTATTTCTCAACCTTTGTTGTGAGCAGGGAGAATGTAGCTGTTCAATATAGGATACCAGATGTATGTTCTTGTTTTCAAGCTGAACTTCTGAGTTTAAATCTTGCCGTTAAATTGATACAAAACTCTTGTCTTAAGAATAAGAAGTTTACATATCTTATATGCACAGATTCACTTTCTTCGTTCCTTTTTCCACGTGATACACTATCGACTGAAAAACTGGTAGTGGAAACTCACTGCGTATTTCCACGCGATTGGATAAACTGAAGATATTCATTTTACCTACGTTCGAGGTCACAATGGAGGTCACATTTCACCTACGTTCGAGGTTCCTTAATGACAGGGCTAAGTTTATTATGACTTATCGTGATATTGATTTAAAGTTATCTGCTCCTAAATCGAAGCTTGTGACTTGGGAGAAAACTGTGATTGATTGGAATGCTGAATATCTTGGTTCGTCGACGGCCGAGTGGACAAAGAGATTTTTTCAAGTGTTTCTCAACTACTTAAGTGATTTAAGACATTTTGAACCGAATATAATTTAGTCATCAGAATTTTCTTACTTCGTTTCAGTAGTGTGACTAGAGAACTTTGTGCCTGTGGCGATGCTGTGGAAGATGTAGAACACATTTTACTGCATTGTAGGCTGCATGCCAGTGCTAGAAGTGATCTTAGGGCAGCTCTCTATTTGCTGGCCTTCTTATTATGATCTTGTCAGGAGTTCCGAAGCCTTTGCAGTCTTGCACGAATTTATTTGTTGTCTGAACTTTTAGTATTATTATTTGTATGATTGGATTTTAATCTTTTATGCGTCATTGCATTATTTTGCGTATTATCTATGTATGATTACGTTATGTATTGATGAATCATTTTCCTTTGTATCAATATTATTTATAAGTATTATTTCATTTTTAATATTATTGTCTTATTATTAAGTTATTGTTTATTTTTATAGGACTATTAACATAGCTTAATTATTCATGGTATACTTTAGTACTTTTATTATAGCAGTATTTGAATTTTATATTTTTCTTTGCTCTCTCCACACCTAGATATTATGTTTTTATTGTTGAATTGTATCTCTTTGCATTGTGAGTTATTTACTTACATCTGTAAGCCTCGTGGAATACATCGTGGAACACGAGGAGTTTTGTATTGGTTTTCTTAATTAAAAAAAAAAAAAAAAAAAAAAAAAAACCTTTGTTGTGATTTTCAAACACACTTTTAATAAATTTTATCGCAACATTTTTATTCTAAAGAGTCCGTTAGTGATGCATCATGACTTTAAATACTGATTTGATGAATTAAGATTTAATTTGAATTGAATAACTTACGTTATGTCTTCACTGTTGCTTTGTTGTAGGTCATCATTGAAGATCTGCGAAAGAGCTTTGTTGAAGAATACATTTGGCCAGCTGTCCAAGCCGGAGCCATTTACGAAGACCGCTATCTCTTAGGGACAGCCTTGGCCAGGCCTTGCATTGCGAAGGCCCTCGTTTGTGTGGCAGAGCGAGAAGGTGCAGCCTACATCTCCCACGGCGCAACTGGCAAAGGAAATGACCAAGTCCGATTTGAACTATCCTGTTACGCTCTCAGTCCTAAATTGAAGGTAATTATTTAAGAAGATGGGGAATATTCTAGGAATAATCACTTGCCTAAAATTTGTCTCACTTTCATTAGCATGTATTAAAAGTAGGTCGCTATATAGTAAGTTCTGAATATAGTAGATATGCAAACATAATATCGTTAAAGCTCTTAACACCGAATTTATTCTGGGAAAATATTTATGCTATAGATTTTTGGTTTGAATTAAGAAAAATGTTTCAAAGCCTTCTTTAAGCGTCTCTTATTTTCGTGCTCTAACCTGAGAATCACTACTGTGCCTGCAGTAGCTAAATAAGTGTAATCCAAAAGGTGGTAGATAAAAAAAAGATCTGATGTGTACACCACATGACTTCCTTGTACGGAATATTAAATTATACGCATTTTTTCTTGCATTTCATTTAAACTTATTGGATTGAACTAAATCTACTTCTATATTTCGTTCATATTATAACTCAGAATGCACAAAATTTATATCATTTAAAGAATAGAATTATCTAACTGTTGCCACATGTTCTATTCAAATACTATAATAAAGCTAGAACAATGTATAAAAGAAATTAAGCAAACAAAACAAAACAGAAACAGTTTTTCACAGACGATTGAGTATTTCTCATTCAATTAATTCAGTTCTCACTTCGCGACAAGGCAAAAATACATAAAAACTCAAAATATCTGTATTAAAAATTACGAAGTAAATCTTAAACACTTATTTGCTCGAAAAAATTCCAGAAAGGATTAAGCATGATTTAATTCGCAATAATAAATGAAGGCGTTATTTTTGTTGTTGCGAAGCTAAGTTTCTCTAGATTGGCAACAAATCCACTAGTCTGCTGTTTCAAATGTAAACAAGCAATGGCCGCCATAAAAAAAAATTATGCTTAGCGGCACTTAAACAACTTTAAAATTGTTGATAATTCTAAAAAATATTGCATACAAATTTACTAAAGGCATAAAAACCTTAACCGGAAGATAAAAACAACACAATTCAATCATTTTTAAAGCAAAAAATGTGTAATTTACAAACATATAAGAGTAAAGAAACTGAGATCACTGAGCCGGGTAAGAGAGTGGATATATATATAAATATATTTATATACGTTTGGCGCGGCCGATTGAAACCAAAATACAAGGTGCACATCTACATGTTATAGTAGTCCTATATACAAAATTTCAACGTTCTGAGGCTACTCGTTTTTGAGTTATGCGCTCCGGATACTCGACCAGGATAACGAATCACGGCCCGCACCTCCAAGCGAGATCACTTTTCTAAAGGTCTTGCTAGTTCAATCGCTCTGACGTGTTTGCAAAATTACTTTATCTACTCGCACAACCGCTGCTAGACAACTAATGCCATCTCTCTATACTCAGGAGGAAAAGTATTTCCTCCACAATAATTACTTTTCAGAAACTGAAGTTTGTGACCTCTTTTTTTAAAATTTATTTTGGATCCACCTACGTATGTTCAACCGAGCTTCTGTTAATACTGTTAAAATGAAGTGTAGAAGATGACTTCCAGTCGGGAAATGCATCTATTTTCACGCCAACATGAATTTCAGATACTTGAAATATCTCTTGAACTGTCGCAGACTTTCAGGAGAAACTCAGTGATTGTTAAATGTAACCCAACCGCAATTTAATTTCTTGCAGAATGTCAAAAAAAGTATTTATCCGAGTATCAGTTTTAACGATCCTCAGCACCTAAAATCATGTACGCTGACGAATGGCTTAAATTGTAGAGACGTTAGGTTATTTCGAAGCAGGAGACATGAAAAATGTGCCTCCGAGCGTGCTGACCATTACACTACGAAGGCATGCTAAGAAGGCGGGAGAAATACCTTATGTACTTCCCTTTTAAAGGGCGACTGGGGATCAAGGAAACCAGTTGCCAAATCCTGGTGGTGCAGAATCATCATCCACCACCTTTTTTAGTTCGGCCGCCACTGTAGAGCCATTATGTTATTTCGAAGTAGAAGACATGAAAAATGTGCAATGTCCTCGCCGTGACTCGAATCTCGGACCTTTCGAATACGCGCCGAGTGTGCTGACCATTACACCAAGAAGGCATGCTAAGAAGGCGAGAGAAATACCTTATAAAATTAAATGGAACATGTTATGTAATGAAATCTACTATATTTATTCTCTATTTACGGCATCTTCATTGCATTTCATTGAGTAAATTATAGTGATGGAAAGATACACTATTTCTTCATAATTCTATAAGCTGTAAATATCTATGATGTTTATTACCCTGAGATAAAATTCGTTGCTTTGGATAACTTAAATTTCTTCATTCTGTAAAATAACAAACAATGGACTGATGGACAAAGACGATCTTTATGCACCAATATGAAGAAAACAATTGACAGCAGTTGTTCAAAACCTAAAATAACTGCAGTTTCAAGTTTTATGACAAATGCAACAAAATTTAACCTATGGATTTATTGTAATCTGTTTAAGTACAATTAGAAAACGTTAAAAATATGAAAGTTAAATACAACTAAAACAAATATTTTCAGAAAATGAGCTTTGATTCTGAATATTTCACGCTGAATCCTTTAATTATTCGAATAAAAATGCAGTTATTTAAAGTTAATTTTAATTATCAATTTTATTTTAACCGTGAACCCCATTAAGATTGCTCTTTGATAGTGATATGTAAAAGAAAAAAATTTCCCAAACTCATTATATTCCAAACATTATTTTCCCAAGATTCAAGAAAAGCTGCTTTTCACAGAATATTCTACTCTCGATCCAAAAGGAATTAATTCTTGCGCTTTATCTTGATTCGAAACAGTGCAATACCTATAAGCCGCTGTGATGAAAAATCTTTGTTCAATTTTATGTTTTTATTTATTTATTTTGCGGTTTTAATCTAGTAATAATTGTTTTACCGATTTACACTTCGAAGATCAAAATTATGATTTTGCTTTTCTTTCAGCATTGAGTTTCAAAAGATTTGCAGTTCATTAATCTTGTCCAACTGCTCCACCGACGAACTATGACATATGACATATGACAGATTATAATATAAAATGAAAAGATCGCAAATAAATTTTATTTCAGTGACATTTAAGGCTTCCTCACGTGACTATCTAGCATGAAAAAGAACATTTAAACCTAAGCTAAATAAATTATAACTTTCAGGCCTCATAATGTAGGATTCTCAATGATTTTTTTTTATTTACTTTATTCAACAAGCTCATATGGCTTTGCTCTGTTTAAACTCTGAAAAGAGCTTAGAGCAAACCTTATCAAGTTTAAATTCTTCCTAGCCACACAGAAATCGGATGTTGCGAAAGAACTTCCAATTGAATGAAGATAAAAGTGTTTAAACGCTGATGAATTTGTTTCGTAAAAAAAAATAAATAAATAAATAAAATAAAAAATAACTGAAGTGCTTTTCGAAACTGTCAGTAATGAACTAACATGTTTTTTATCCGTTTATCAGTAACATATCAAAGGAAGAAATATTGCAATTTGGAATATTTATATACGAGAAAAATGGCTACGGGAAGAAAATTACTTTTTATCATCTGCAGCTTCTCCAGCGATGATAAAACCACACCCTCTTTTCTGTCTCGTATCTCAAGAATGGAATTCAGATTTAAACAAAGATGGTTCATGGAGTAATCAAGAACTGTTACAAACTCTAAATTTTATTCTCTAACAAATTTAACAATATCAAAACAGTAGACAATTTTATATTAATTATCTATGTTGGAGATAAAAGAGATAGCGTGCCTGCAAAGATTTAGGAGTGAATTTTTGCAAAGAATCCTAATGAAGCTTTCAAGCGATATCTAATGGCAATGACTACCAAACTAATCTCAACGTGAGTTCTTTAAAATACCATCTCTTGCAGAAAGAAGTATACGCGGAAATGTTTTATTGGATTTTAAGCAGTCGATGTCCTGTACTACGGATTCAAATATCAAACATCAAGAAGGGCGTTTCGTACAAATCAATCATATTATTGTAAAACGATGTGTAACTCTTGTTACTCATCTACCTTCTAAGCCAAAATTTAGTACTAATGGACTATTTTTTTTTTTTTTTTTTTTTTTTTTTTACGAAATAAAAATTTCACTTTAAAAGGCACCATTCTGAGAGTATTACAGGCATTCAGAAAAACTTAACGAGTGGAAAAAATGCAATAGTTGGATCTTATAAAGGCAAAGCGCTCAATGAACGTACGAAGAGATATGGTCCAACTCCAATTTCATCAGCCAAGGCCAGTGGTGCGCAAACGTTTTTCGACTGCGACCCCTTTTATAGAGAGAAATTTTTGGCGACCCCTAGAGATAAATGTTCACAAATACGATGTATATTTCGCGCATTTCTTTCGTTTCGAATAAAAACATCATCATATCTGACTCATATTAATTTTATTTATAATTTTAAGAAAATACTTTTTGTATAACACAAAAATCAGTAAATTGCTTAATGAGACGTATGTGGCTGCAAGTTTCTAATTATCTCATCGATGTTTGGATGTATACTGCTAATTGCAATTCGCATATCATCTTCAGAGTTTAAACGCGAGCGGTATTTAGTTTTTTTGAAACTAGTTTGCTAAATCCAGTTTCACATAAATACGTTGATGCAAATTGTATTAACACTCTGATGGCATTCTTGCATGAAACGGGATATTGTTTTTCCACGGATAGCCAACATTTTTGGCAAGGCTAAGTCTTAAATTGATTTCGAAGAGTATAATCACTAATTAGATCTATCAATTGCTCTTTCTCACTAATTTGAACAGTTGAACTGCATATGTCAAAGGAAAATGGATCACGAATCCAACCAAGATCGTTTTCAGGAAAATCGTCGAATCTTCTCGAAAAATTTTCCTTTAACTTTTCAATGTGATTGGAAACGATGTTTTTAAATGTAAATATATCTATATTATTTTCCTTGATAAAATCGTTAAAGGAAGGGAACATGTCGGTGTTGTTTTTATTCAGTTCAGTTTGCTAGAGACTAAGCTTATTCTTAAAAGCTTGA